TGCCAAATAAAGAAACAAAGGAAATCATCTTAATTCTGTGTTTTGCAGCTGCTGAGAGTCTATTTGAAAAAAAAAAAAAAAGCAAACAAAAAATTTAAAATGAAACCAAAAGGCAGTTCCAACTTTTCTCATGTTCTTTTATAGGAAAGATGGTTGTTTTTATTGGAAGGGCAGATTTACAGAGAGGAGAGACAGAGGTAAAGATCTTTCATCCGCTGGTTCACTCCCCTAAGTGTTTGCAATGGCCAGAGCTGAGTTGATCTGAGGCCAGGAGCCTTCCCTGGGTCTCCCACGCAGGTGCAGGGCCTAATGACCTGAGCCATGCACTGCTTTAACAGGCCATATGCAAAAGCTGGATCAGAAGTGGAGCAGCCCAGACTCAAAAGGGCAAGCTGATTAGCCCGTCATGCCACCACTGTGGCCTCTCAGGCTGTAGCTCCTTGTCCCACTTGCCCCAAGTGATGTAAAGCAAGTGACTCTCAGAACGAAGGACCATCCTGCCTTTCACGTCTGGTTGGTGAAAGGGAACAACTGTCATGCAAGAGCAACATCGCATTTTAAAAGGTTCAGAACTGATTCTCATGAAAGACTGTTGTACAGATTGTTACAGAAATCTAAATTACATTTGTACTACGTATTCCTGTAATCTGTAATTCCCTAGCATTAATCGTATAATTCAGGCATATTATGGGTTAAACAGGCTTTAGTGGGATGTCTGAATCTAACCACTGGGCATAATCAATGTCATTCTAAGTGAGGGCAATCAATTCACAAACACTCAACATTATAGAGCTGAATATGATAAAATTAAAAAAGAAAACAAAGTTCTTAGTTTTATAAAAAGTGTCCCCTTAAGGGTCATTTATTTCTAAAAAATAATTAGGTACTCAGACATTCAGCACAGAATTTAATAGACATACTTTTAAACCATTATTTCCCTGGAAAACTTACATCAAAAATGATTAAATGCATTTCTCTATTCATCTAGTTTAGGAAAAATAAACTAATGCACATTTTCATGAAATAAATGACAAGAACATTGTTTTTGACATAAGAAAATTGTTAATATCTTTCATAACTGAAAGACTGACAAAATATACGTGATTCGGTATACAATGCTACTTTTAAAATGTGGGTAAAAAGAATTATTTCCAAACAGCTAATATGGAGTCTAAAAACTCTCCAAATATACTTTTCTTATTTCAATTGAGTAGCAGCTTTCTGTTTCATCATTTATGAGGCTTGACACACGCACTTTTCCCAAAATGTCCATCTAGTTTGTTAATTCAAAGGATATTCTTCACTCATTCGATTTAACAAAGGAAGCCAAGCTCCTACTGTTGCTGAACAGTGTGCTAAGCAACAGGTCAGTCCCTGTCCTCAGAGCTTCCACGACTTCTCAGTGACCACATCTGTCCACACGACAGTGACAGCCAAGCTTTATCTATCATGTAAGAAATCAACACAAATGGCATCAAATTAATTCCCCACAAAAACTGTGAAATAGTAACTTTAAAGACACTTTAGCAGTTCTATCATCCACTTGAAGCTTTCCTACAAAACAACTATGAAAGTACTGTTTTGGTAAAAGGTCCAATAATGTAATCTTTTAAAGAGTAGTTTTGCTGGGGAAAAAAAACTGAGTTATTAATACTACGTAAGGAAGTTAGAAGGTATGATGCAGTATAACAAAAAGCAAGCACATGGAAAAGATAAATTATTTCTAAATTACAGCAAAATATAAAATTAAACATAAATACCAATGTTTGCAATATCAAATAATAAAGTAGTTCCAGCTCATACTTCACACACAAACACAAATAGATTTTGGATTGTGTCATCCACACATTTAAATGAAAAAATTAAGATTTTCTAGATAGTTTATTTTTTCAAATTAAATTCAATATTCTACTTATTCATTAAGTCATAATTTCTCCATCAGTATTAATTACATGTAACTATCATTTGTAATACTATATTTACTATAATACCTAGTACGTCTGCAATTATTGCAAAAAATTTTGATAAGTGAGAAGCATTCAATTCTTCAATTTAGAAGACTGTCTTTAGTTATCTCTATGAAACAAAATAAATGTAAATCAGCCATTCTAACATGCCAAGGAAGACCCATAATACATTTTCCACTGCATTTTCTCACTGAAAAAGTTTCATCGTTTATCAGCTATTTCACTGAAAAAGTGTCACCGTTTATCAGCTATTTAAATTTTCTTTTAAAACCACTTGTAAAAACCTCTCTGCTGACGCTCTGCATACAGCCTGGTGGAGTCAGTGCACTCTAGCTGCATGTACATATAGGAAACCAAGACGCACAGGTATCCATTTTGTAAAGTGCAAGGTCATTTCTCCAGAAAGCAACTGACTGCACATCACGAACATATGTGTGCCACTTGCAGGTGCCAGAAAGCAAGGCTGTACTTTGCTGGCTGCCCCCGGTAATGCATGCGTCTGTGCAATCAGTTAACAGAAGAAACTTAAACAAGGGGAAACGGGAAGGGAGGGTTATAACCCTCAAAAAAAACCACTTCATTGGGGGTAGTGAATTATTTATTTTTAAATGATGAAATGTAAGTGGTTTCTAACAGAAGCATCAAGTAGCCAACATTTGCTTCTTACATTTGCAAAAATAAATAAATAAATAAATAAAATACTGCATCCCTCGAGCAGATCATGTAAAACCGCAACTTCACTATCCTTGTAGAAAGAAGTTAGAAACCCAAGATTTCCCTAATTAAATATTCAATATTCAATATTATAAAGAAAACAGCTGAATAAAAAAATAAAATTCAGTTCAATTAGGGTATGATCGATAATGGTAGGTAAAAACCCCACCTTAATTATTAAAACTTTTCACTCAACTAAAGCTATGATTAGCAATCAAATATTCCGCTGCTGAAGACTAAATACGAAACTTTTCTTTCAAAACTTGAAATGTCAGGTACATTATTCAAATATGCAAATAAAATATTTTCCCAACAGAAACTTAAGGATTAAAAAAAAAAATCTGTTCTTCAAGAGTTTAAACTGAAGATTGCCTGTGGAGATTGACAGCACTATTTCAACTAGAGAAATGAAAGTTACCTACGATACACACGCGACAGAACATGAGTTGAATAGGCAATACATCCATTACATCAGTGACAGTACAATTTAGCTGACACCGAAAATAAAACAGAAGAGAAGGCAAGGTACATCCTGGACAGAGAAGCAACCGGACTGAGCCGTGCTGAAGGGGGGATGCTAAGCTGGGGGCTTAATGAATGACTAGGACGGGTGGCCCGTGGTCAGCTCGGCCGTGCTGTCATCCTGATGGCAAGAGAAGGTGGCAGAGTGCGGAAGCTAGGGGGCACGCTGTAGCCAGGGGAGAAGAAAAACGCGAAAGGTGCAATGGATGCTGCATAGTTGAATAATTATCTGGGTGGCACAATGGGCGAGTCTGCCGACATCACAGCCGAGCCAGCGACTCCCCAACTCTCGCCCGGGGCACCCCCCGCCCCATGACAGCAGGCAGCAGGAACCACCCGGCATCGCTTCGCCTGCTTAGCCTCCAAGGAAAACCCGGGCGCCCGCAGCCGCTTTACCCATCTATCTCCAGACACGGACGTGCGGCGCAAACACGCAAACTCACCAGCCGGCTGCACGCACCGCGGGCCCGGGGCTTCTCGGCCGCCCGAGGCTGCAGCAGGGGCGGGCGGCACGGCTCCGCCCGGCGGGGTCCGGGAGCCCCCCAGCGAGGGGCGGCTCGGGGGAGCCCCGCAGCGACCCCCGGCCCCTCCGACCACCCAGAGCCCTGGGCACCAAGCCCCGGGCCGCAGGCTGGCTCGGGCAGAGCCGCGCGTGGGGGCGGGGGCGGCGCGCCCACCCATCCCCGCCGAGAGCCACACACGACGCCTGCTCTCGGCTCCGGCCGCACACACGCACGCGAGGAAACCATCCTTGAGAGACTCGCGCTCACCGTGAGATCGTGGCGGCTCGTGCCTTTTTTACCCCTTCTTCATGCTTCGGCGGCCGCCGGTCCCACTCAGCTTCCCGGGACTCCACCGGGACCCCCGCCCCCGACCCGCCCCACGAACGGCAGGCAGGTCCCCGGGCTGGAAGCCGCCCGGGAGGGCAGCGGCTCGAGGCGCCGGGCCGCTGGGAAACGCCGCCCGGGGCGCCCGCCGCTCGCCGGGACCCGCGCTGTGCTCGACGCGCGAGCGAACAACACCGCGCGAGCCGCCGCTGCCTCGGCCGCCCCCTCCCCGCGCGCGACGCTCCACAGCCGGGCGCGGGGATCGGCGCCAGGAGCAGGGGGGTGCTGAGCGCGGGACCCTGGGCGCCCGGTGGCCGGTCCTTCCGCCCGGCACCTATCCCTGCTCAGGGACAGGTCCTCAAACTCGAGCGTCTCCCTCTCCTCTGCGGCGCCCAGTGCCCAGGTGTCGCGGCGGTGGGAAAGCAAGCCTCCGCCCACACGCCCGTCCGTGGGGGTGAGGAGCGCGCTTCCCCCCCTTTCCCGAGGCTCTGTGGTATTACCCGATCCTCGGTTTGGGGGAGGGGGACGGAGAGAACCCAGCTTGGCCAGGGAATGAGGGAAGATGATAGCCAATTGAATGAACCATCCATCCAGGGGCGGGGCCCCGGAGAGGCCCGCCGGCCCAGCCCCGCCTCCTCGTTCTAAACTACATTTCCCATCGTGCCTTCTAGCCCTTCCCGCCGCGCTGCTCGCCGGGAGCGAGTGGCCGCAAGGCCTCCAGGTATTTCAGCACTGGTAGTTTTTCCATTGAGCTCCAGGCAGGTCCTGGAAGTGAGTAGCGGTTAAAAATTCTTTGTATCCGTAACTGGATGTTTCCAAATTCTCAGTTCGATATACACTATCCTAATAGTCATAATTATATTATTGTTTCAAAATGTGCCAAGGAATTCCTGTGCTAAGGAGGTAAAGAGTGTGTTTTTGTGGCGCTCTGCCAGGACTTGGGCGCCGCTTCCCCTTCCGCCCCGGCCTGGTGTCCGCAGAGGCTGAGTTGCCGTCATGTCGGCTGCGATTGCGGCTCTGGCCGCTTCCTACGGTTCGGGTTCGGGGTCCGAATCCGACTCGGACAGTGAAGGCGGTCGATGTCCGCTGCCAGCCGCCGACTCTCTCATGCATTTGACCAAATCGCCGTCGGCCAAGCCGTCTCTGGCCGTGGCGGTGGACTCGGCTCCGGAGGTGGCAGTGAAGGTATGCGCTTTGGCCACTTTACTGATGCGGTGCGGGAATAGTTCGGTCGCGTTTAGGCCTCTTGCTCGGTTTCCAGAGAGAAGTTGCTGACGTTTAGGTCCCTTCTCCGTCCCCGTGCGCCTTTCCCCGGAGGAGCCGAGAGGTGGACGCTGGGGGTCCCCTACTCCGCCCCCCACGGTCTCCTGCTTGCTTACCACCAGAAAGCAGGTGGGCAGAGCGGTGAGTCGGGACGAGGCCGGGCTGCAGCAGGTGTAATCTCAGGACAGGAGTAAACTATGGCAGAAGTTGAACAACTTCAGAGTACCGAGTGCGCAGTGACCTGGCTGGCTTTGTCCTGATGTAAGAACCAGGTTCTAATCCCTGTGCCTGCACTTGGATGAACTGGGCAAGTTGGCCAGCCTCCTCTGTGAGCCCCCAGGAGATGGTTTTCAAAGCGCCAGTCTCTTTGAGAGGGTTATTGTGAAGCTTGAGTAAAAGGACAGCTTGGTTTATACAGTAGTTAAGTAGTCTCTGGTGTAGTTCAGTTAGTGTTAGCTATTGTTGATGATGTGTTAAGATGGGAAAACGGCCTTGGATGTCAGGAGGAGCAAGTACGATACCCTGGGAGGAATGTGGGAAAGGCAATCATGGGGTTTTAGAGTTGCTTGGCCCAGTATGTGTGGAGGAAATGTTACTTTCCAGGAACGGTGCAGAAGAGGGCTGCAGGCACCAGCATAGCTCGTCAGCGAAGCGTAAGTGATGGAGTGGGCTCAGAATGGAGTAAGCCCTGCAAAGAAGGAAAACGGAGTTGGGTGGCAGAGTGAGGAAGGTGTGTGATTCCCGCCAGGTTGTCAGGGAGCGCCCTCTCTGGCTTGACAGAGCTGGAGGCCAGGTGCCATGACAGCTGAGAGCTGCTGGCAAAACCGAGGCGGCAGCGTCCAGCATGTGTGGACCACCAGAAGCTTCAGCTGTAGAGAGCAAGGAGGGCAGTGGACAAAGTAGCCTTTCTAAGATGTCTCAGTCAAGTGTTCAGAGAGTCTTTTTCAGGTTTTTAGTAGTCCGTTTCATTTTATTTTCTATTCATTGACATCTGCTGTGAGTGATGGTTTAGAATCCTCCCATCTTTTCTAGCACATTCTTTACACCTCAAGCCTGTTCACGACCTCCCTGATGTTTATTCCTGTCACAGCTCAGCCTTTGGCAGCTGTTCTTCCACCTTTTGGCTCATCCCAGCACAGTCTAACCATCACCCCTCCTGAGTGATGCGCCGGGCCTTGGATCCCTCAGGTGATACTCAAGTTTCTTTTCCACTGACCCCCATCCTCAGCCTTCTCAGTATTGGGGTCCCCAGAACTCTGCCCTATATCCTCTCTCCTATCTTTGGCCTGTGTCTGTGCTTGAGCTCACAGATGAACAGTGGAAGTAGGCTGCACAAGAGGGAAGGCTCCTGGGAGCCCATCCTGCCTCCAGCACATAGGCCCATGGTGGTCATGGAGAAGTTCCGCAGGTGCTGTGTGCTGATTGTGTGTTGGTGAAGGCCACTAGTACCCATCTCACAGTTCTGAGGCTTATCATAAAGCACATAGAGAGCTTTATGCAGTGTCAGGCATACGCCAAACACTGAATGTTAGCTGTCATTATTTCTGTGTCTAAACTCATGGCTAGTTTAAGGGTGTAATCAATAGCTCCCCTTAGAAGTGTGTGTGGGGGGGGGAGGGGCTAGTGTTGCAGCTTTGTGGGTGAAGCCATCGCCTGCAGTTTTGGCATCCCATCAGGGTAAGCAGTTCAGTCGTAGCTGTTCTACTTCCAGTCCAGCTATCTGCAAATGGCATCTGGGTATGTAGCTGCACTGCCCAAGTGCTACACCCACATGGGAGACCCAGAAGAAGCTCCTGGCTCTGTTGTGGCCACTTGGGTAATGAAGCAGCAGATAAAAGATCTCCATCCCTACCACTCTTCTCTGTAACTCTGCCTTTCGAGCAAATAAATCAGTTTTTGAAAACAAACAAAAAGCCAGCTTTTCTCATATGCCTCTCAGACACCCATTTGGTTGTGCTGAAAAATTCCATCTCTCTCTGCAGTCCACCTGTTAGTCCCGGTCAACAGGTCATCCATCCTTTTGTCTCCCTGTCAGCCCCTGTAGCTAGCTCGTCATGCAGCTGCACCTGACATTGCTTCTGTCTGAGTTTCTCTCAAGTCAGTTCCTTTCTCTGTCTTGCCAGTCTCATTATCACTCGCTTTTTCCTTCATATTTTCCTTATTTCTCCAAGGAATTTGTCCTTTTTTTTTTTTCCTGTTTGCCTCTGCTTGAGAATACTGGGTGCTTGTGTTTTGCAACTCCAGTCGCTTTCCCACTCTACTACTCTTCAGTTCAGATGCCCATCGTTTCTCAAGGTGGATACAGCCGTCTAGCTGCTGGCTGGCCTCCCTCGGTCTCATCTCCCTGTTCCATACCCCAGTCTTCCCTCCACAGTGCACCTGTATTCCGGTTTCACCCTGTCACTTCTCTGCCCGGTGTCTCCTGTGGCATGTAAAGTCTGCCATCCTCCCAGGCTGAGCTCTTCACAGAGCGCCCTGTGTTGACCTCAGTTCTGCCCACTCCAGTCTCTCTGCTTGGAAATCCCTTGCCTTCCCTGCCTCCTGTCCCTCTTGGTCTTGGTACACATGTTTCCTTCCCTGCCTCTCCTAGCACCCGTTTCATGCCTCAACTGCATTGTGGCATGTTATTGCTGTGACCTGTTAAATTTCTGCTTTCTCCTGGATGGAGAGACCCAGCCACCCAGAGATTGTTATGTCTACTTGTTAATGTCTCCAACACCTTGGGCGCAAACTCGGGGACTATCTGGTAAGAAAATGGAATGTAAGAGTGAGTGAAAAGGAAAGACTTGTGAAAGTACACACTGAGAGTGAGTTTTCGAGGGGAATGGGGACCCCTGTCACTGTCTCCTTTCAGTGACTGCTAAGTAAGGAAACCCAGAGGAAGGATTTGGAGTGCATGCTGTATTAGCAGCAGAGCTGGGGCTGGCCCTCTCAGCACTCTGGGATCTGTGGTAAAATAAAAGCCATTGCTTATTGCTGGTTTATAAACCAACTTTTGCTTCTATGAAGAAGAAAAAAAGCTTACACATGGTAAGCATAATTATTGCAATTAACTGGAGAATTGAGAAATGATCAGATGAGGAGATGTGAAGCATGCAAATGAATTTATGCAAATATTACACGTGTTGACTATTTGTATTATGACTAATAGCAAGTTTTAAAGCCATTTGTCACTAAGCACTGATGCACATTGAGTATGCTTTTTGTATTTATTGTTGGTGATTATTTTTTTAGGGTGGCTGCTGGCTTATATTTTTCTTTTTGATTTATAGGAGATCTTATACATATTCTACAACCTGTCCCTTTGTTAATGTGTGTGTTGTGAAAGTCTTTCAGTTTATAGTCGCTTGTGCTCTTTTCAAGACACTTTTATAAGCAGTTGTTGATTTGGCCTAGTTTTTTAAAAATTAGTCCTTTTTAGATTGTGATTTTTCTTTGAGAAATTCTTAACCCAAAATCATGACAACGTTCTCCCTGCATTTTGAAAGCATTATATCTTTCTTTCTTACACTGGATCATTAATCCACAAGAAGTTAATTTTTGTCATGGAATGGTCATTGCTAAGGGTTTGGCTTGATGTTTGATAGTGCAGTAAGTCCTCCCTTTTCTTTATTGTTCAAGAATGCAGTAGCTGTTCTTGGCCTTGTATATACAATTTAGAATTAAGTTGTAATTAACCTCTAATACCAGGTGGAATTTTGTTTTGAGTTTTTATTGGATTAGAGGTTAGTTTGGAAACAGGGTAGTATCTACTCATCATTTTGTTGTTATTATTATTTGAAAGGCAAAGTTAACAGAGATGGAGAGGCAGAGAGAGAAATATTCCATCTGCTGGTTCATTCCCCAAAATGTCCTAACAGTCAGAGCTGTGCCAGGCTGAAGTCAAGAGCTTCCTCCAGAGCTTCCACATTGGTGGGGAAGGCCCATGCATTTGGGCCATCCTCTGTTGCTTTCTCAGGGTGCTTTGGCAGGGAGCTGGATCTGAAGTGGAACGGGAAAGCAGTAGAGGATGGCTGAATGCCTTGGGACCCTGCACCCATGTTAACCTGCTACTGCTTTCTTAGGCACAATAGCAGGGAACTGGGTCTGAAGTGGCGCAGCCAGGACTTGAACCAGAACCCATAAGGGATGCTAGCACTGCAGCAACAACCTTACACTTTATGCCAGAGTACTGGCCCTGAAATTGCACTTGTAAGTAACCCATGGGCCATAAAATGGAAGGTTAACATAAAATATTTTGAAATGAGCAATAATATATATTAGAATATGTGAGATGCAGCCAGAGCAATAAATCCTTTTATAGTATAGTCTTACATACACTAACAGAAAAGAAGGAAGGCAGTATACATTTATTCCATTCTTTCCCAGCACTCATTTGTAAATTGCACAGTTTCTGTTCTTTAGACAGTTACCCCTAGAAATTACAGCAAGCTTGAATTACTGCCTTTGCTGCTGCTGAACAGTGTTAAGAATCTTAGTACCTCTAATCTATTCCTGTTTCCCTTACCTATACTTCAGCTACAGATGTCTGCTGTACATATATATGCACACATGGGCTCACCTACACACATGTGCGTGCACACGCGTGCGCGCACACACACAAACACCCTCTGCAAGGTGATGGTCATTGAGATGGTGGTTGTTGCATCTCATGAGCAAGAAATCACTTTCTTTCCACTCATAGGACATCCTGAAGACTGTCCTGTAGTGATGATTGGTAACAAATGATTTCAGTTTTAGTTTGTTTAAAAAAATTTTTTTAAGTCTTCTTTTTTGAAGGCTGTTTTCACTGGACATAATTTGTTTAGCTAATTTTGTCTCAGCATGTTTCAAATATTCTACTGTCTTGAGATGTTCAGTGTTACCAATAACAAATCAGCTGTCAGTGTAGCTGTTTTAACTTTGAAAGTGACTATTTGGGGCCTGGCACAGTGGTTCAACAGGCTAATTCTCCACCTATGGTCACTAGCTGGCATCCCATGTAGATGCCAGTTCATGTACCTGCTGCTGCACTTCTAGTCCAGCTCCCTGCTTGTGACCTGGGAAAGAAGCAGAGGGGACCCTGCACCCACATAGGAAACCCTAAGGGAGTTCCTGGCTCCTGGTTTCTCATCAGTTCAGCTCTGGCTGTCTGTTGCCACCACTTGGGAAATGAACCAGCAGATGGAAGATTCTCTGTGTCTTCCTCTCTCTGGAAAACTGCCTTTCCAATAAATAGATAAATCTTTAAAATAGAAAGATTTTAGAAATGCTGGTAATCTGCTCCACTTTCTGGAAATAGAAAAAGAAACAAGGCATAAATTGGTTAAAATTTCCACATAATAATGATTAATATTTGTGATCTGTGCTACAATTTTCTAATTTGTACACAGGAAGAAATGTTAAAGGGACTGAACAAGTAAATAGTATTAGGTTTTGTTCTCAAACTATTTCGAAAATATAAACTATGCACACTTCCTTGACCCCCTAGGATACCACTTACTGCACTTTAATTTTTGAAAATAATTGGGTAAAAATCCTTGTTAAGCCTGACATGCTTGATTGATACTGAACTCCTTTCTATGTCCGATTTGTCCAAGTTTTCCTAATCAGATGTAAAATTAGCAACCCTTCACGTTTTTGAAAGTTATTTAGTTGGTTGTGCGATTTTAGTAAGTCCTAGAAACTGGAACTTATTTGTAATATTTACTAGTCATCATTATTGCTGATATCAGTGGTAATAATTTTTAAGTTATACTTTATGTTTACAAGTTGATGAGGCATTATATTTTGTTCAAAATGATTCAAATTTAGAAAATTTTAAGTACCCATAATTTGAAAGACCTGATAACCCATTTTATAAAATGGTTCTGGCAACAGTACTGTAGGAAATCCATTGGGAAGGAGTTAATGTGACTAAGTCTGTGGCTGTTTGAAGCATATTCTGGCATTAGCATTTGAATATTATGTAGTCTTTCAACTTCATGGTCCAGGGTTTGCTTTTGGGTCCTAAGCAAGATGCAACCTCAGTGAAGATTCTTCTGCACCTTCTACAGTGAGGTATATTTATCATCTAGTAGGTGGCCCAGAGTTAGAACTGTCTTTGAAGAATCTTTGTAAAGAACACCGCTGCTCTCCACCTACCCTCAGAGGCCTGAACATCAGATTCTCCTCCCAGCTCTTTTAGCAGAGGTTGCAATGATCCTTTGTGGTCAGACGCATCCACTGAGCCTTGCCATCTGGAGCTAATCCACAAAGGAGCAAGAAAAGAGGATTTTTCAGCAGCATTGTCAAGTTTGTCAGGCTGCAAGTTTGACCAGTAGTACCTGTTGGTGGCTGTGGCATTCTAGTGGTGGTGATCAGTAAATGATTATCCTCCCTGAACTGCTTCTGGGTTATGATTGATCTTGACTAGGAGGTTCATCTGTACACTCACCTCTGTTTCCTGCCTGCTTCTCAGAGCTGATTGACTATCCTAAGACCAACTCTGAAGGATCCAATAGTGTTTGACTAGGCCTTGAGAATTTCTGTTGCTTGCAGTAAAAACTCTGCCTGCTGTTCTTTTTCTTGGCTCAGGGGAAGGCCCAGGCAAGGGAGGCCAGTTTGGAAATTGTCTTATTTGTAAATGGTTGGATAGGCAGCCAGCCAGTGATTTTATATGGAGATGAAATTTTTCTGGTCATCAAACTAGGGAATGAATTGCAGAAGGTTGATAGATAATATGAAACTTTCATTCGGAAGACTCAGACCCTGCCACTTTTTCCTGTCTCTGTAGTATCCAACTGAAGATCTTCTGTTTACGTATCTAGTAAGTTTTGCTACTAAAAACTATAAAAAAGGGACACCTCTTCTGAATTTAGAATTGGGGGATCAGGTCTCCTGAGTTAATCAAAAGATTAGAAGGTTTGGTGGCAGACGTTAGGCCAGCAAGGACGACTCCAATGTCCCATATCTGAGTACTTGGCTTCCACTCTGAGCTCCAGCTCCTCATGCCAGCTTGCCACTAACATATCACAGAGGCACCAGGTGGAAGGAGTCTTGCCACCATGTGGTAGAACCAGAGTGAGTTCTTGACTTTGATATGGTCCAGTCCTGATTTTTGGGGGATGGAACCGTGTTTAAGGAATGGATGAGAGCTCTGTCTTTCTCTCTCTCTGCCTCTCAAATAAATAATTTTCAAAAAAATTTTTTAAAGCGAGATGAGTTGGAATCTCTGTCTCTCTCTTTTTTTTAAAGATTTATTTATTTTTATTGGAAAGTCAGATATACAGAGGAGGAGAGACAAAGAGGAAGATTTTCCCTCTGCTGATTCACTCCCCAACTGACCACAGCGGTTGGAACTGAACCGATCCAAAACCAGGAGCCAGGAACCTCCTTCAGGTCTCCCACACAGGGACCCAAGGCTTTGGGCCATCCTCCACTGCTTTCCCAGGTCACAAACAGGGAGCTGAATGGGAAGCGGGCCCGCCAGGACATGGACCGGCACCCGTATGGTATACCGGCACGTGCAAGGCAAGGACTTTAGCTGCTATACTACTGCACCCGGCCCTCTCTGTGTCTTTTAATGTTCTATTTTTCTCATGCTAGGAATCCTGACATTATATATAGTAATTTTTAATTAGTTGAGCCAGTATTATAAAAAAAATTGATAGCATTTAGAAAGAAAAAGTGTGCACTAGATTTATATAGCTTAATCATTGTGGGAATTAGTAATCACATATTAATATAATAATCACAAACAAGGTTAAAATGGCTTGTGACACTTTACTGTGACGTCGTAAATAAAATAATCCACAGCAGATCCTTAATACCATTTGGTTTCCTTTTAGGAAGATTTGGAGACTGGAGTTCACCTTGACCCTGCTGTGAAAGAAGTTCAGTATAACCCCACGTATGAGACCATGTTTGCTCCTGAGGTAAGCAGGTTTAAAAGTTTGCCTTTCCCTGTTGATTCAAATTACATACATTGGTAAGTGAATAGCTGGTGAATGTCTTAAATGTTTTCTCTCAAATGAATTCCATTTAGACTTTTAGAAAATATATCCATTTATCCTATAAAAGTTTGAATAATACTTTGTGAGAATAATCTTGATTAAAAAAAAAAAACATACACTAGCTGCCTGTCAACATACAGTGATCTGTTAACATTTTGGGAAAGGAAAGCTGAAGACACCTGGCTGTTGGAGGTGGACTGAGCTGACATCTTTCTCTCAGCATTGACACAATGTTACTGAGTAGCCATAAAGGGAAAAGGTTTGTTTTATTGCCATCACTGTGTTATTGACGTCACTGTGTATAGTGCATTATGAAGCAAATGCTTCTGAAATGTAACAGGAACACTGCTGCAAAGTAGGAACTGTGTTTGATGCCCATGTGAAGTAAAACAAAGTGTTGGGTTTTCTCCGAAAGGTACATGGTGATGCAGGAGTCTTTAAAAATGAAGATGGCATAGATTATTTAGAAATGGTAGATATTGTCCATTTTAGAAAACAGCACATTTCTAGATAGTTTCCCTTTTAGGATGGAAAAGAATGTTTGATGAAAACAGAAGTGCAGAATGCAATCATTTATAGAGCACATAATGCTTCTGTAGGAGAATCTTTAAGAAATGGAGTGGAGTGAAGAGTCTTTTCTTCTGTGTCTTGGTGGAAAATGATTCTTTTCTGTCATTTGTCAGCAGTCATTGCCCGTTTTGTGCTGCACCCTGGCCCTCGCACTCCCCCATTTGGCCTGCCTGGTTCCCATGTCACTCAGAACCTAGGACTGCTGAAGTGCGTGCATGCCGAGGGTGCAGAGCTCGCCTTCCCACACTGCTCCACTGCTCCGGGTGTTCAGTGAGCAGAGAGCTCTTGCTGATGCACTGAGACTCAGCCCGGTCTAAATTTTATTCTGTTGTATCTTAAATCCTTCCAGCTTGTGCAACTGTGGGCTCTTTCATATCGCTTGGCACTGGTTTAGCCAGCCCATTGAAGACAAGTTATATATTACATATATAAATGCCTCATGACTTTTTAAATGAAATGTATTTCGGGAAAATAGAGTCGTTGAATTCAGAAAATGAGAAATGTGGAGATAGTGTGGCCTATGATATTCTGATGCTAGCTTCTTTTCTGCAAAGTCTGCTTTTCTGACATGTTTGAATTCTGCACGTAACTCATTCATTGATGTATAATTTCAGTTTTGGAAACTTTCCAGAAACAATTAAAAGATCGGTTCAGTTTTTATTCTGTTAATAAGGCAATGGACCTCTCTTTCTCTTTATGAGGTTATCAGTCTTTCAGCGTTCTGTTCTTTTTTTCCTATATTAGAGAGCCTCACTTTGAATATGTAAATTAGTTGACGTTAAGAACCAGACTTCTCATTAACAATTCAAGCAAGAGTGACTTACCAGGGAAGCAGAATCTTACTTCCTCCTGATTACCATGCGCCGTGTATGTGGCATTATGGATGATGGCTTGATGCTTTATGACAAAGAGATCTATCACTTTGCAGAGTGTAAAAGGATAGCTGAAGGAACTTTGTAAGGTTAGATTTAGGTTCCTACATTTTTCCAAATATAGATAGAATTGGTCTCCTCGAGCTGATGCTCACCAAAAAAGATGTGCCGTGTGTTTTGAAAAAACAGATGGCTTTTTTTTAAGATTTATTTTTATTGAAAAGTCAGATATACAGAGAGGAGGAGAGACAGAGAGGAAGATCTTCTGTCTACTAATTCACTCCCCAAGTAGCTGCAGTTTCCAGAACTGTGCCAATCCAAAGCCAGAAGGGAGGGAGGGAGGGGGGAAATTAGTTCCATGAAAGAAGTGTTCTTTGAAACAGATGATACTGGACCTGGCGCTGTGGTTCAAAAGGCTAATTTTCCACTTGCAAGCACTGAGATCCTGTATAGGCACCTATTCATGTTCCAGCTGCTCTGCTTCCCATCCAGCTACCTGCTGTGGCCTTGGAAAGCAGTGGAAGATGGCCCAAGTCCTTGGGATTGTGCACCCATGTGGGAGACCAGGAAGAGGCTCCTGGCTCCTGGCTTTGAATCAGCTCAGTTTCAGCCATTGCAGCCATTTGGAGAATGAACCAGCAGATGGAAATATTTTAGAGAAAAAAATAGATGGTGCAGTTCAGGTTCCAAAGAAGAGTTGTGGCATTAAATAGACAAGCTAGTTAGCACTTGTATGATTTTGGATGGTCTTTGTTTTCTCATAGGTAAAAAGAAGGACATTTTTATTGAGTTACAAGGATAAATGAGGTGATATATGATTACAGGTGTCACAGAATTGGCATTTAACAATGGTAGTCCTTATTGTTACTTGCATTAATGTCATTGGCGTTAAAGTGGCTAAGTAGGCTTTTATGAGGAAAGATTTCAAGCAAAAGTGAAGAGTTGGAACCTAATCAGGAAAGAGCTAAAGAAAAGGAGTACCTTGGCCGTCTTCAGTAGAGAACACCTAGGTGAGGCCAGTACCTCTGCTTTATGTGATGTTGTGTGGGGCCTTAGAGGTCTTACTTTAATAGATAAGTAGATTTCTAAGGTTCTTTAATGCAAGAATGGCATAAGCAAAGCTGAAGTTTTAGGAAGGTTTATTAATATGGTAAGCATTCATGTAATGGAAATGCATGGAGATAGAGACTAAAGAAATAAAGCTAACATTTCCTACTGTGGATCGGGTATGTGCTAAGGCATTTGAATGCCCTCTCTCCTTTAGCCTTCACTACAGCCTGTGAAGTGAGTACTCTAATCTTCTACTTTATAGTGAGGCAGCCTAGTCAGATCATATTCCAGAAGTAATGCAGTTGGAGATGGGTGTCCAAATTCACTTTATTTTTCAGATTTGTATTTACTGATTATTTCAAAGGCAGAGTGACAGACATCTTCATCTGCTGGTTCACTTGCCAAAAGACCACATCTACCAGGCTGGACCAGGCCCCAGCCATCCCCATTGCCCATACGTGGCAGAGGCTGAACCATCATGCTCTACTCTGCCAGGCATATTGGTAGGGAGCTGGGTTGAAAGCAGAGCAGCTGGAAACTGGAACTGGTGCTCCGATATGGGCTGCCATCATCTCAGGCATTGGCTTTAGACTTGCTGTACCACCACAGCAGCCCCAGATCAGATCGCCCTGGACCAGCTGCCTATAGCTGGAGGACCAGTCTAAAGGCCATGTAGAATTTGCAGGGTATAGTCATGTCTCTGACCTTGCTGCTTTTGAAAATTAAATTTCTTAATTTATTTTATAAAATGCCATTTCTGTCTCCAACCAGGCTTTTTCTAAGTGATCTACTTAATTGTTTCTTAAGTTTTCTCATATTGTGGATAGAACTAAGTTGAACAAAGTTGAAGATACTGTTTTAATCTGATGACCATGATTTCACTCGGTTGAATTTGCTAAGAAATAAACGTAGTTGTTAGATTCTTTAGCCTCACCTAAAATCCATAAAATTTTTGGTAAGAATTCCAGAGACCTTGAAGTAATGGTACTTTTAAGAAGGAAGAAGAGAGACAGACAGACAGACAGACACAAGAACTAGTAGTTACTAGGAGTCCAAAATGGTGCAGGCCTTTAGGATCAATGTTCGAGTCACTCCTCATAGTCTCAGCTGCTCCACTTCTAATGCGGCTCCTTGCCAGTGGCCTGGGAAAGCAGCAAAGAATGACGGCCCTGTTACTCATAGAGGAGATCCAGATGGAATTCCAGGCTCCTGGCTTTAGCCTGTGCTGCATCTTTTGCAGCTGCTTGAACCAGCAGATGGAAGATCTTTTTTTCTTTGTCCCTCTCTCCCTCTCTCTGTATCACCTCTGCTTTTCAATGAATAAACACATCTTTTAAAAAAAGTTTATGAAAATCAATGGAATGTGGTGAAGTCCAGAAAGAGAAGCACGTGTCCACAGGTGTTTGAATTTATGGTGGTTTGTGGCGGTGCTTGTCAAAACAGAACAGTGTGGCTCACTCAACAAACCGAGGCACGACAAAAGCAGAAAGCGAAAAGACTAGCTGTCTCCTGTTTTATTCCGAGAATGCCATGAGTCAGGTGTGTAGCCTTCAGAAGGGAGGCTAGAGTATTTCTCTCTGGGAACTGTAAGTCTGAACAGATAAGGGGGAGAAAAATTACATACACACAGGGAAGGTTACTGATAGTCCCACCCGGATCACCCTGGTCTATCCCAGCTGCACGATGCATTTCCCAAGACCTTTCAAAAGTCTCCACAGCCAGACTGTTTCCCAGGCCAGGGAAATCTGTGACGGTAGCAGGAGAACCCAGAGGACCCAGGCAACCCAGGCATGTGTCATCTTTTTTTTACCATTCTTTCATAGGAACTACAGTTATTAGCTTTAGAGGTGACTGACACTGAGAGAGACTTTTAGTTCAGGCAAAGGAATTTATTAGGAGAGAGAGTCTGATGGACTGTTTCCTCCTGGAAGACAGCCTAGAACCCACTTCCATGTGGCCACCAAATGGCTGCCCGGTGTATGTGGTACTGGAGTTACATCTTAACTGCAGGAGATGGAAGAAGGTGGTATCTCCTCAGTTTGCGCATGTTTGCGCCCAGGAGCAAGTGATGTGTAGTACAAATTACTCCTCTACTCACCCATGCTGGGCTGACCTGATCCGGTTCCTACATGGCATTCCAGACATTCCCAAGATACAGAGTGGATCTCTGCAGCATTCACTCTCACTCTGCCTCATGCCAGCACCCTGCTCTGCCCACCTAGCAGTTATCTTCTTTCTTTATTCGTGTTCAATCTTTTCAGTGTTTTCAAAGAAACAACTTCTTGGAGTGAGGTAGGCAGCTAGTTCAGGGTCAGGAGCTTGGAAGCCACTCCCCACCACCACCTTGGTGTTCCCTCCCACCCACCTGTGACTTTCACCTGTCATCACCTGGAACCTGAGATGGGAGACGGTATTGCACTGTTGTGTGAC